AAGTTTGTCGGCAACGTTCGCTGTTGGCACCCAGATAAAAATCTGTGAACATGTAGCTTCATTTATTGGGTGTATTACAGAGAGGTTTGGTTCCTATGTTCCAGAGGAGAGAGGGTTTTATACCCTTCAGCCCCCCCAAGGTGTATATGGCTTAGTTCCCAAAGGATTGGAACAGAGAGCAGTATGTTTACAGCTCAACTCCTGCCATTCTTGACTCCAGCAAAATTCTCCAAGCTGGTACCATTCATTCTAGCCCAAGTGACAAGAACACTCAAAGGCTTTGCTGAATTGAGATGAAAACAATACCAACTTGCTCAAATTGTTCAATGAATGTTGTCTTGCCCTGCATTCAGTCATTAACAAGACAGACAAGACAGCAGAAACCCTTTGGAAAGAGAAGCATCCAGAAGGAGGACTCAGCACATTTCTTTAAAGCTGAAGTATTTGTTATTTCAAACAACTTCACTGGGTTGAAGCAGATTCTGGTTTTGTAAAAATTACTGTGACTTCCAGTTTGAACAGCTACAACAATGTGTATCTCTAGCCTTGCTTTTGTAGGACAGCCAAGAATAAAACAACAGGGTACAGCTAAACAATTTGTTGCAGCTCTTTTTCAAAGAGCCTGCTTGCCCTAGTGATTATTCTGCATAGTGACAGAATAACTACTTTAGTTTTTCTCAGCAAAGAACATGTTAGAAATGACAAGTTATCTACTACTGAGTGCAAATCTACCACAGGAAAAAGCCAGGAAACTATAACCAAGCTGGATAAACTGTTACACTAACTGCAGACTTGCTTTTCTAACTGGACTGGTGAAGTGCAAAAAGCTTCTTAGAACAGCTCTCCTCATGTTACCTAAAGTAGAAGCAGGTCTCAGCAATGCCAGTTTTACATGAGAGAGGCCAAAGACACTTAGCAGCAGGAAATTGCTATCAGGAAACAAGGGAATGAACATCCTAATGCCATCCCAACCAAGACTGCACCACCACACAAGGGAGCCAAGGGATAGAGGTTGAAGTGTGCCAGGATCAGCAAACAGCTTGGGAAGAAAAAGCACTCAGAGGGTGAAGAAAGGAAGGGAAACTTGTGGCTCACCATTGCAATGCAAGAGCAAAAGGCCACTTGACAAGCAAAACTGATCTAAGAAATCCTGACACACAGTCACATGCACTCACTGGAGATGGAAGTCATTTGGGATAGGAAGCACCTCTGAGGGTAGCTCAGGAGTATAGAATAAATTCTTCATCACACAGTGTCTGAAGAAGAATTGTATGCCCAAGTGCTTGGTCATTTTCTTTAACACCCACACCAGCATATGTACTTAAAAGAACCCCAGCAAACTCTAAAGGGATAATACTCCCACTGCACAATCTTACTCCTGACCCAGAGAAAGGATGGGGAAAGAAAAACCCCAAACAAACCCTAGAGCATGAGATGCAAGCCACAGTTTTTAGCCACCTACTAGTGGAAATACCCCTTTTCTCCTTCATGCTTCCCAGACTTGTGTTAGAGACACTAGGGCAAGCCACTGGACACACAGAGAAGCTGGGACACATGAACCAGGGTCGAGGTGAGGGGGCTGCCACAAAAGTTTTCTATTAGGGCTGATGATGTGAGAAAGGAAATCAGGTTTTCACCTGCTTTACTGAAGGAATTCTCCACTTCAGTGCCCAAGAGAACACCAGCAAACTCTGGACTGCAGGCTCTGGTACACTTTGTGACAGGCAAGCCCCCTATTTTTATTTTTTTTTTTATTTTTAAGCAGAAAACTTATGTAAATTAAATATTTATCATTTCCTTATGATCTGCAGCAAAGGGAAAAAAAGACTATTTTGAAGTTTTGCAGCTTTGTTTTCACAGGTGAGTATGTAGGTGATGACTTGAATATGAATCTCAGAAAGCTGCATTTTTCTGTATACAGAAAAAGAGCATGAACTTAGAAAAGGCTTTTTTTCACCACCCCTGGAGATGCAGCAGGACTTGCCAACAGCATTTGGGAGTGTGAAGTACATAAGTACATTATTTAAGTACACTGATTCCATTAAACAGAACCATTTGTTTTTGTCTTCTCTGCAAACACCTCTAAGTGCTCCAGCTCCATGGGCACACATGGAGCTTGGAGCATTATCCCTGGGGACTGTGCACAGTTGGAAGAAAGCAGAGAGATACAGCAGTTGGTAAGGGGAAAAAAAATAAAACAACCCACGAGCAGTCAAGTCTTGACTAGTCTGACAGCTCCTAAAATAATGCTGCTTCACTTAAGAATGAACATTCTTCTCTCTGACCTACAGAACCTGACCAAAAGGTTACACTTCCCCTGCCAGAAAAGCATCTTGGGGAGTTTAAGAATGCCTGAGCAGAATGGCTGAGCCCTGCTAGAGATGGCAAGTTATACATAAGTGAGTTTCCAGCATTCAGAGCTGTATGTGGAAAGGCACACATGGCAACATCTTGGACTCTGAAGAGTGTTTCCTCCTCCTCCTTCTCGCTTGCTTCTCACTAATGACTATTTTGAACAAAACCCAGCTTCTGCCTGGAATCTGCAAACCCCGGAAAACCACTATGATTAGGCAGCACGACTTGTGTGCAAGGAGCTCTGAAAAGCACAGCAGTTAGCTGCCTGTTGCTGTGATCAAGGACTTAGGACTAGTTACAGGGTTGCCGGGGAAAAAAAAATCCCCTACGCAAATCATTGTATTTATGGGGTAAACATCATTACACACTTTAAAAGCACATATTTCCCACAAGGAAAAGTTAAAGCTCTCTAATTATACCATAATTAAGTCTTGACTTACACGTCATGTGAGCCTAACATCTTGATCTGTCATCAAATGCACCAGTGGTAGCCCAGCTGTAGCCACCCCTGTGTGGCCACGGGCAGGGTTGATGGGTCCCCCTTGTAGGACCCAGCAAAGTCACAGCCAAGACTTGTGTGTCTCTAAGTTCACCTGCTTCTTCTGCCTGCAGAGGCTGCATTAGCTCTGAACACAAGCCTTGCCTGACCAAGAAATTCCTACCTTCATTTGCTAAACAAAGTTGGAGGGCAAACAAGGAGATCTTCCAAGTTGAAACACAGAGACATTAACTCTTCGAACGTGAACCAGCAGGTGGGGCTGGCTTTGTGCTTCCCTTTCCAGTGGTTTACTGGAAGCAGGAAAATTCAGCATCTTTTCCACTCTGCACCATCCCCACAGACCCTCCCCATCCCTGAAGCATTCAGGAGAGAGAAAAGGAGTAGCTAGTGTTGCCTGAATTAGACAGAACGCTTCAAAAAATGTACAGCTCCTCCTTATTCCACATCATCACTTTCTACATCCTTACCTCAAAGCATTCCTGGAGAAGGGAGATGATATTTTGGCAACGTTGGGTTTTTTTTTTTGCACTGACAGTGCTCAACTCCTGCTCTCAACTTAACTGGAATTAAACAGAGCAGTCCAAGAGCTCAGCTTTCCTTCCCAGGTTTGCAGATTCCCACTCCTAAGCATCCCCTTGCTACACCTGCAAGGCAAGCCCTAATTTTTCCTGGAAGTCAGCTATTTGATCAGCCAGGGAGTTCTCAGTTTCTTGCCAGCACAAAGAGGAATGTGCTGTTGTACAGTTAAGAGAGAGAGAGAGAGGGGAAAAAAAAAAGGCTTTCAGAAGTATTACCCTTGGTTCTTAGCACGCAGCACCGAGGTCACATCTAGCTGTGTGTCAGGCAGCCTCAATAATTCCCAGCTCTGCTGCAAAGGGACATCCTGGCCAAGAAAACCTATCATGTTTGGGAAGAAAGGCACCCTCAGCACAGATGGATGTTGCATGCTGGCAACAAGGCAGTGCTGCACAAGCACAGGCGTCTCCTGGAACGAAGGGCTCCAAAAACCCTTAATCTGAGCTGCAAGTTTTTGGACTTAAAAATGTGAAAGCAAGGGGCACAAAACTCTGCTAGCAAGTCCTCAGATTTTCTCAAAGATTCTCAGACCTGGGTTTTCAAACCCATCAGACAACCTCAAGGAGTAGCAAGATGCTTTCACCTTTAATCCCTTTTACAAGCCAGAAAAGCTACCACTGCAGGGAGGCAGGAGGGTGTGAAGGCAGGAGTCTCTCCACAGCACAGTTAGCTGAGGAGGCACAAATTATGCTGAGTATTCACTGGGTCTTGTGGACAGACTATTCCACAAGAAAACACATTGTCAGCCCAGAGTTTCCAACCAAGTCCACAAACCTGTATGTTACATTTTCCTTTCAGTAGGAGACAGGACCAGAAGAAGAGTGTTTTGATAGCACAAATCATGGTTTGCAACAATTTATACAGATCTCCCTTACTTTGCCCTGGGTGATAGCTTGAAAAAACACACACAGTGGCAGAGAAGATTACTGCTCAGCTTGAAAAGACACCATGAGACTTCAGTTTGTCTCACCAGCATGAATTGCCATCAGTCCCACGACTTCTCCAAAGAGCATTTACAACACCTGGGCCTTAGGAAAACCCTGCATGAGGTGAGAGGACCCCACGCCAGCCAAGTACCAGGGCAAAGTCAACTGGAAGCCCTTGCCTCCAGAATCAGAAAGGCAAGCAGCTAATTAAAACCATTGTGTGGGAGCCTGCATGAGGTGTAAGAGAGTGCTGGGCCACAACAGGCTTTGGATGTGTGCCGGCGTGCAGAAACACTATTTAAAGCACCACCAGTTTTGAGAGGCAATGTAACATTTCTACCTTCTCAGCCTACTCCAGAAAAACACCCTCTCCCTCCCCTGTTTTATAAGCAGCCACCCTGTTTACAGAAGTCAGCACAGGCTTCCAGTGCTCTTGTTTGACTCCAAGGATTATTTTAGATTTCAGGGGTTAGAATCTAATCAGGACAGAAGAGACAAAACCCAGTGAAACCCACTTATCCTTTAGTCTGCCATCTAAAGATCAAGAAAGAAAATCAGCTTAGGAAACAAACCATTGGCTTCATTATTCCCCTGGTGGGCAAGCAAGACTTTAAACCAGGTGGGCATCCTCCAGCATCACTCACCGATCGGTACTCGTAGAAGATTTTGTCATACTCTGTGCCTCCAATGGTGATTTCTGGGATGAAACGAGGGATGGCCTGAGGATCCAGCACTCCATCCTTCTCCTGCACGCTGAGGGAGAAGGAGGAAAAGGAGAAGTTAGGCCACATCCTGCTCCAAAGACATAGACATCAGTTCTGAGCTTGACTGAGTATTAAAGAACTGCTGTTCTGTTAACGCTCCCACGGGTTTTGGCTGTTTTCTGGTTATAATGGATACAGAGCCCTTTTCCTCATCCATCCATCCATCCATCCCCACACCTTTACCTACAGCTTGTTCCTGCTCCAACTTCCCTCTGCTTCTCCATTCCCTCCCCCAGGTTTCTCCTCCCTGGATAAGCTCTGTCACTCTGGGGACACTTCTCCACCAGGCACCTCCAAGAGCTTTTCTGCTTCCCTCTATTAGCAAGATCAACCCAGTGGTTGCATTGAATCTCACCCACTATTTTTAACTGCCTCCTGTTCAAGTAGTTTTCACAAATGAACCCTCACAAGGGTTTAAATAAGGTGGTGCTCTTCCTTCCAACTCCCAGCCTGAAAGAACTGAGGCCATCACAGGGTTTGGAAGCAGGCAGAGGACCTGGGGGAAGCCTGCAGCTGTAACAGCAGGTCCCAGGATCCACCCCAAATCCATGCTCTGCACAGCACCAGCATTTACTAACACCCCAAATCTAAAAACAGCTGAGAAACTGCTAGAAAGCCACCTTCTGCAGGCTGGGGCTGTACACAAACCAACAGTGCCACCTGTACGTATTTGGGGAAAAATACACCCCTTTGCAGTGGACAGGGACCAAATTTAACACTTGAAACCCTGCAAATTGTGGTTTTTCCCCAGTGAGTTGCACTTCTTTACAAGCAGTTACATACATCTGTTAATAATTTTTTAAGGAATTTCTTTTTTTGCCTTTTATCACAAGTTTTGGGACTTTACCTCCCAGCATTGAGCAGCTTCAACTATTCTATTAGCCTGCTAATATATCCCAACATGGACACTGCAAATTATCCTACTACAGACCAATTAGTAAGGAAATACAATAATCTAGTAAAAATGGAGATGACAGAAGGTGCCTAATTAAAGTTCAGGATAAACACCAAAGATGCTTCCTAGGAAATACTGCATTTTCTATCTTCACATGGATTAAATGTGTATTTTGCATCCTGGAAGGCAGGAAAACAAGCCCTCCTGTGCCTCCTCACCAACAAAGCAAGAGCTCTTCTCTTTATAGGCCAGCACCAGCCCTCCTGCAGGCCACTCCCAGCCTTCCCACTCCAGGACATCTTGGAATAACTGAGCTGGAATGAAGAGCTTGCCCAAAACAGTGATGATGCAACTGGTTTTATTTCTGAATCCCAGCATACTTCAGGACCACTTAGTCTCCTCTCTTGGGGTTCTGAGAAAGAGTCAGCTCTAATATCCACTGCTAATTAACTGGGACCCAAACCAAACAGATTCCAGCAGAAAGCAGCCCCTTCAGGTACCAGCTCTTCATCCCACACCTGTAATCTGTACCAACACCATGGGCTTTAATCTGCATTTCCATTGTGCAGGGAGCAGGGACAGCAAGCTAAGAATTTTTATTTGGACAGGCAATGTTTAAAGACCCTGCTAAGCTCTGGCTTAACAGCAGAGGCCAGGGAAGATCCCCTCATCTACCAGTGAATAAACATCTCCATCCCTTCTTCCCACAGCAATGGGAGAGCCTGCTCTCTGCCAAGTGGCAACAGATGTTCTGGACTTTACAAGTCCGTAGCAGAAAGCAGATAAAATTTGTCCAGATTATATATAAAGCAGAACTTGACACACAGACATAGAGCCTAGTAGTCAAACAGTCCACAGTTAACCTGTTTCTTAATGAATCTCAGCCAAATGGCAACTGTAGAGGACAATTCCCAGGCACAACTTATTTCAGTTGGGGGCCAAGATGAAAAATCTGCTGTTCTTCAAACTTCTTTGCTCTGACAACCACTGCCTCCAAAGAAACCACTGCCCAACAAACAACATTTAAACCTCATGCTACTAAAAATTGCTTCTCCAGCTTCAGCTCTACTCTGCACTGGAAGAAAGAACTTGGAATACTGAAAGCACCACACTAAGATACCTGGCACAACAATGTCTTTAACCACAAAACCATTGCCAGAACTAAATCACTGCTCAACAGGAAGCATTTAAAAGCATCTTTTTATGTGTCCTCAGTTTTCTCTTTTGTCACCAGCACAACATTATCACTATTTATTATTTTCTGGTGCTCAATATTTTCTTGAAGCAGCTTTCATCACACTTGGCTTCCCAGAGAGTCCTTAACCTGCCCATAAGATTAGGTGACATTTCAGACTCAGCTGAGAGCACCTAAGTGATTGCATTGTCCTAGGTCTGTAAGAGCATCAGATTTTAGCTCCCCATCATTGTAACCACCCATAATCCTACTAGCCAGGGTTCTTCCTACTGCTGCATGGGAATCACACTCCTAAGTACATTTACAGCAATGGGTAGCTCACCTCTTCTGCAAAAGCACCTACTTCACATCTGCTTTGTCCAGCAAGACATGCACGAGCAAGTACTGAGGAATCAAGACTGGCACATTCCTGCCTCTTTCTAGAGGAGGAAAGTTCTGTTTCCCTAACAGGCAGCTTGCAAGAAGGATACACAAATTTTCCAGGGAACCTGCAGGGAACTGATGACACATCAGTAACTTTGTCTTTGGGGTTTTTTTTCTCCTCAGCTATGTATAAAACCCCAAATTTCCTCCAACAACAAACATCAGAATTATGTATAAAACCAAGTCCCCAAATTTCCTCCAACAACAAACATCAGAAAGCCTTATGTATTTGCTGGAGTTGCAAGGTGGGGTAAGGAAAGCAGGCTGCTGGCAAAAAAAAAACCAACACCAAAACAACCAGTCAACCAAAAAAGCAACCCAGTTTTCATAGCCTGAGCCATGATTTCTCAACTGATGTTGGCACAGTCACAAGAACTGAAGTGACAATGAAAACCACACTTCCTACCTAAAAGCATTCACTGGCCTAGGAGGCTTAGAGCAACACAAACATATCAGATTAAATCCTGCACTTAAGACATGAAAGTAACTTGAGAAAGAGCAGTTGGATCCAACTGGAAAACCTTATTTTCTGGCACACCTTGAAACCTGCTTCTCACAGACTGGTGATTGTGTTCCAGGTGTGACTGGGTGAGTGGCTGCTCTTCACACCCTCATTACCTTGGCCAGGGCTCCTCAGCCCCTGCTGAAGTTGGCTTCCCTACCTCCCATGGGTAGGGTACAAACAGAGCAGGGGAAAGGAGAAATGAGCTGGGCAGGAGAGACAGTTCCTCCATCCAACTCCAACCATACTGACCTCCTCTGCCTCATTCAGCAGGCACAAAGGACAAGTGCAGGCTGTGTTTCCCTCATGTGCCCTCCCCATTTCCTCCTTGCCTTGTTCTCCAGGGCACACAGACCTTCTGCCAAAGGAACCCCCACACTCCACCCTTGGGTCAGGCAGAACAAGCAGAATGCCATGCCCAAGATGAACCAAACCACAGCTGCTCCCTTGGTGAGCAACAAACATCACAAAAGAGAAATGATCTTTCCAAGACAAGCAGGTGTGCAAGACAAGGTGAGAAGGTGCAACAACACAGCTCTTCAAATGTAGGAGGCCTCTGCAAAGAGGCAACTGCAAAGAACTGCTTCAATTGAAGCAAGAGAGAAGTAAGGTGCTGAAGGAGGTAGTTTTTAATAGTGCCAGAAGCTTTACCACAGGTACTTTGGAGTCTCCATGTCTTCTAGGACTACTAGTCCTGCTCTGTGAAATCAGACAACCCAGGAGGGACACTGTTTCCTTTAGCTGAGCATGCCAGACTGCTCTGTGAAGCTGTGCTGAAGGGTTGCCCTTCCCTCATTCACTCCTAGGCTCCCCTCCTTGCAATATCTCACTTCACTGGAGCAAAATGTACAGAGAGGAAACAGGAGCCAAGCTCTGGGGTTAGCAATAGTTCCAAGAAGCTACACAAATGTTAAGAAAACTTAGAAATTACTAGGTTACTGCACATACCAGGCCCCTCAGTAACAACCCCAGGATAGGTGTCTGATGTCCTGCCAAACACAACACTGGAGAAATTTACTACAGAGGGTTTGTGGCACACCAGGAGTTATTAATGACCAAAACTGAACAGATGAGCATGGCAGACTATTTCATACTGGATTGTTTCCATTTGGAAATGGATCCTCTTTCCATAAAGATAAAACAAGTGCCAACACCTCTCTTTTTTGTTTTTTTTAAATGAAGTTAGTGGTGGCTCACAAAAGCTGAAAATTGGCCCTTAGAAAGTATGTTCTGCTGTAGCAAATTCCAAAGGGTCTCCAGGGATGTAAGAGATTGAACTGATTGACTTGGCTGATGAAACAAGTCCAAGGCAGCAAGCTCCCCTCTCCAGCTGATAAAGGAACATGGGCAGTGCTCCACCAAAGACAGCCCCTTCATTCCAAAACATCCTCTCTCTTGGAAGAGCCCATGGGCTTGTTTCTCCCAGCAGAGAGAAACGTGCTGCAGAGGGTGCAGTGGCAACAGAGGAACCCCTTCAGACATTTCAAAATGCAGGGTGGTTTCTGTTGGACACAGCACCTGGAAGGGGAGACGTGGAGAACATCCTCTGGGAGATCCCTCCAGCTTACACACACACACAAACATAGACATCTTTAACCTTTTGCCAAGACATGCCTCAGTCCCACAGCCACACCATTAGAGCAAAGGGGAGAGCACTTGAAGGCAAAGCAGGGAGATAAAAGGTATCATTATGCAACTGATTTTATATGGGTGTGGGCCCACTGGTTTTATTAGCTTCCTTCTTTTGCATTCCCAAAGCAATCAGGGGCTCTGCTGGGGTTTCTGTGTGTGTCAGACCCTCTGTACCTGCAGGATTAGGGCTGCAATGCCCTGCCTGAAACAGCCCGAGTCAGGATGAGGAGGCTGCATGCTGGGAGGTCAGCAGAGGAAGAAACTGCAGGTGGAAAACCAAATACCTGCTGCAGCCCTGCAGGAGCAGGCTACAAAACTTCATCCAGGAGAAAAAAAAAAGACACACAGACACGTGCCAAGGGTACCACACACTCCTTCCTGCTTGGGCATTGGAAAAAGTGAGGGGAAAAAACCCCACCAGCTTTAATGCTCGTGCACTAGCACCCGAATTTGGCATCTGATGCTCAGGGATGCAATTCCAACAGTGAGGAGATGCAGCAGATCCCCTGCAGTGTCTGCTCAGTCCTTACACCTTGTCCTCTGTCCGGGCCTGACACGCAGGCAGGGACAGGAGGAGCCTCATGTCTGCCCTGCACTTCTGGAGTTGACAAAGCTTATGTCCAAACCTACACATCTTTAGAAGATGCCCTAAAGGTGCTCTTCCCAGTCTGCCCAGCATGTTGCCCACGATTTCTTCACTTGGCTGAGCAAGGCACAAGCACCAAACTGGCACAGGATCTGTTGTTAGGTGTTGGATCAATGCCCCAACAGCCCAGCACCTTCCCAGGACTCCCAAGCACATCCATCAGATGCCTGAATCCAAACCCTGTCAGCAGCACTATTCTGAAGGCTGGGGGAAGCACCAAACCTCCAACCAGAAGAATATTTCACTTGGCTGTTGGTTGCACTGGAAGATCTTAAACCAGCCACAGGCTGCCAAGAGAAGAAATGATTTCATATGATCTACAGTGACAAGAGCCTTGCACAGGAGACCCTCACGCTCTCCCCCCAGGGTTCAACCAACAGCCAAGTGCTTAGCAATGCCATTCATTCCCTTCTACAGCTGTGAAGCAGGATTTTCATCCCGTATCTTTATACCCTGCTCTTTAATTGCATCCTTTAACTCCCTCCCACACTCTGCAATTAATAATCCTCTCTTAATACCCGTACTAGTGTGAAGCTGTAGGAAAACAAGCAACTCAAACTGCAGTTTCTCTTTCAAAGGAAATCCAATTTTGATAGCATTGCAGGATCTAAGCAACCAGATGCAATCCTTTCATCACTACTCAAAACAACCTCTTCTCAGATACTTAGAAGGGCACCCAAATCATGACTTGTTTCTCTTAAAACACCACCCAACCCCACTCTTCTGCCATCTGTCTTTACCCCTTGACAGAAGGGCCACAGAAAAGGAACATGACCTTGACTTCTGGGAGGCACTTGAAGAAACAGCACAGAAAAGTAAATCTGTATCACAGGGGTCAAAGTGTTGGTCTGATCTCACTACAAACATGTCTGGTTTTGTTCCACACGTTTTAGAGCTTGGAGGGCTCCCTCTTTGTTCAGCACTGCTCAGGGGACACAGCCCCACCAGTAGGACTCCACAGCTGAACTGGGACACAGAGAACCATGGAGTACTTGCCAGGAATCATTATAGGATCAAAATTACCAAACTGGATCCTATTTCAGCAAGACAGTTGCCACAATCCAAGTCTGATCTCTTCACATCCAACTAGACAGACTAGGATCCTTAACCAAAAAAATACCCAAAAAAACTTCTTAAAGTGCTGTAATTTATAATCCCTGTTGTTACTGTGAAGAGTGAACTGCAACACCTCATGAATTAGGATTAAAACTTCTCTTGAGAAGTATTTACTGGGAGTCAGAGGAAAGAAGGAGAAATGAATTTAATGGAAGGGGATCTGAGAAGGGGAACTAAGAGAGGGGAGATTGAGGTGAGATATGAGGAAGAACATTTTCACTCTAAGGGTGGTGAGGAACTGGGATGGGTTGCCCAGGGAGGTTGTTGATGCCCCATCCCTGGGGGTTTTTAAGGCCAGGTTGGATGAGGTTTGTGCAGCCTGGTCCCTGCTCATGGCAGGGGGGTTGGAACTTGATGATCTTTAAGGTGATCCTTAATGATTCTATGATTCTAGGATCTATTTTTCTGGAGTCTCTCCTCAATTAGCAGCAGCAGCAAAATGCCACACACCAGTATTACAAAAGCCTGCTACCACTGCTGGCTTGGACCCAAAAGAAACCAAGTCACAGTGCAAATATAAACACAGCTTCAGCAATTCCAGGTGTTAACCACTCTCTTCAAGATCTAATGCTAAGCAATGTTCAGTTACTGGAAGTTAAACTTACTGAAGTCTCAACTGATGGAAAGAAACATCATCCTGCTCCAGCCACGGCCCCTTGTCAAACTTCAGGTACTCAATGTCTTCAAGTATCTGGAATCAAAAGATAAAAACCAGACTAAGAGGTGAGCTGATCAGAACGTACAAAATCCAATAAACACACCCCCAGATCAATGAAATAATCAACATTTATTATTAAACAAGTCACCCAGCAAAAAAAGGCTCCTCTGCTAAAGCTGCATTAACAGTGCAAATGTTCAGAGGTAACACATCTCCCTGCCTTTTTTCTGGAGGTTGTGGCCCTGCCAGAAGCCCTAGGTAGACAGGGAGTCAGCTCTAAAGTTCCTGGTGCTTTCAGGCTTGGCAAGCAGAGGATGACAGAGAATAAATAGGGTGAGTGGTGCCTTATTTCCAAATTCTTACCTGATCCAAGAGACCCGCCACTGGGGCTGAAAGGACAGAGAAGGTACAAGCCCACCTTTCAAGGCAGAGTGAGGGGGAAATAAGCCCAAACTTAACCCACTGTTTTGCAACCAAAACCCTGTTATGCTACACAGGAAGTCCTGTTTATTTTCCAGCAAGGCTGGGAACTGAGACAGGCTGAGGAGCAACTGTGGCAAGTGGAAAGGAGAAGCAAAACTCACTGCTCAGCACCCAAACCCTTCACACAAGTAACACCAACTCAGCAAATCATGCCCTCAGCATCCCCCAACTTATCCATCCTGTCTTTGAGATCCCTTTACAGCCTGGCTCCACCAGAAAACAGATCTTTGCTGACCCACTGGACAATTGCTGAACATGACAGGTTGGATCTGAAGGAAAACCAAACTAGTGTCAGCAGGATGCACTTAAGGTGCATGATGAGGTGGAATCAGCACCTGGAAGGAACTTGGAGAAGGGTGGGTTTTTACAGCTCCACACATCACTTTTCAGAAGCCTTTTCCAGAAGGAAAGGACAAAGCTATGAGGTCAAGACCAAAATCCTGATGACAGATGGTCAACCCATTGACAAGCAAGGATGCCAGTAATAAAGCGAGTGATAGAATAATAAATGAAAAATGCTTCAGTTCTTGTCTGTACATTAAACCCACTCTAATTATACTCTGTGATCCCAGCAAATGTTAAATCCCATCTATTGCCACATAAAAGACAATAACTAAGTGCTTTTACAAAGTAGTTTTGAACATAAAGATCCACTTTATTACTATTACTACTATTTTATGGTAAGAAATAATGGCTTGGAGATACAAACTGCATGATCACTTTCCTTGAGGCATTTGTATTTCTTAAAGACTAATTTTGCTGATAAAGACTTTAAAAATACAGTCGACTTGACACCACCAAAGCACATTTAAAACTTCAAGCAAGTTTTGATGCTCTTCAGCCATGTCTGTTGCCTTATGAAGAGGCAGAGCAGGCAAACCAGACACTGGAGCTGAGAGCTCAGAAACCTGCTTTTCACATAAAGAAAAAAAGCAGGTGGCAAATCCACCTGTTGGCACAAAAATGTTTAATTCTTAAAAAAACACTACAGAAAACTGCACCACAGACATTGAGAAGTTTTCAAACTTCTACTGTGTCTTCCTACCAAACTGCTGTAATTTAACTCCCCAAGATAAGCCTTAGATGATGCAAAGAAGAGAGGTATATTGCCAGACAGCTCAAAGATCCATTTATTTGACTTATTTACTTTAGAAGCTGAACCTTCACCACACTTCCTATTAGCTACACAAAAGCAATTACTCCTGTATTCTCCAGCAAAGCTTGGGAAACTCCCCACTATGGCTGATATCAAGACTAATAATAGAGTCCCTATCAACAGGGCTCAGAATATGTTGCATGGAAAAAGAAGTCTGCAATGCAAATCAGTTTTGCACACTCTTATTATCACCTCAGAAGACACCTCTCCCAGCAGCTTGCTAACAATGGTATTAGCCTCCCCACCAGGCTGCAAGAACAGCTTCCTAATTTATAAGGAATGCCCTGGCACCCCCTGGGAATTAGCAGCAAATGAATGATTTAACCTGATGGCAGCACAACTCGTGATAACATCCAGGAGAGTTCAAGCCTTAATATATTGCAGGGCACAGCAGGACTGAGAAATGAAGTCATTTCAATAATGAGAATCTTTCTATAATCTTTGCCACTAACCCGACAGGAACAGCTGACAATTTCTGAGCTTGTTTCTCAGAGATCTGAAAGTGCTGTTGCTGGAAGAGTTGGAGGGGGTGGTGGGCAACAGGTGACACTGTTCTTACCCACATCATTTCCTGGGGACATGGACATCAAACCCCAACACGTTCCATTTTTAAGTTATTTAAGTTATTTCCTAACACAAACACATTAGCCAAGTGTTTATTCCTTGTGTTAAAGCAGCCTAAAACACCCTAACAAAGCTCATTTCAGCACTTTTGACTCCTTTGGTGACTACAACCAAGGTTAATTGCAATATGAAACCCTGCTTGATCTTTCTGGAAACACACCTCAGAAACACAAGTCAGTTCCAAGTTGTGTATGTCTGTTATGAGCAGGTCAAAAGCCACTAAACCATGTGGTCATAAAACAATTAAGCTCCCAATCACACAGCAAATCACCTGTGGAACACTGTTAAACACTGCTATCAACAGGCTACACCTGTATCAATAAACACCCTGCAAGCCAAAGCCAAATCCCTCCTGCCAACTCCTTATTTCCAAATTTCAGCTGTTTTATTCCAAAAGGAAACTGAACCTGAAGGGGGAAAAACCCACCTTTATTCTTTGAAGGGGAAAGAGCACCCACCTCTACAGCCAGCAGCTGACAGAGAAAATTACATCACCTTGTACTTTGACTTCAAAATAATAACCCTTCCTTTAGCCCAGATTTGTCCATCCTAATTAGAAACTGCATCAGTGCATAATGATGAGCCCATGGACAGTGATGACACAAGAGTGCTGAGCTTGGGAGACTATCCACTTGAGCAGTAAGACCTTCACACTCACTTTAAACCCTGATCTAAAGGATTAAAATAAAATCCCAGAAGTGAGTTTCACTACAAAACACGGGGGGAGCAGGAAGAAGTGACCTCATGTTAATCCTGTCACATAGTAAGAGATGGTTTATTTCTAGCAGTGAAAAGACCATCTACCTGGCTCAGTCCAGAGCTATTGTGTTCAGCAAAACCATTTGGAGGAAAAACCCTGCAATTTAGAAGCCCTGTTAGCTCACAGAGATGAGCAACCCAGGGTGACAAAGCCTGTAACAGCTCTGGTTACCCAGCTGTTTGCTCTAACCCAATCATGACCACCTTTTAGAAAACAGCAGCTGTTTTATTGCACAGGAACCTGTGCACCAACCAACAGGAAGCTTCACAGTGGCAGCAGCCAACAGAGACAGATCTCACACTGGGAGTGATGCTCCTCTTGGGTGATGCCATTGGTTCCCAAACTGGGCTATGCAGAGCCTTGCCCATCCCACCAGCCACTTCCAGCAGGGATGCTGACTGAACAGCCAAGCACTGCCCAGCCCAGCAGGGACTCAGGAACATCCCTCCCAGGATTTGCTTCATAAAACAAACTGAATTTGGAAATCCCTGGCAGAAAACACACAATAAATTATTAGTGATGGTCTGCAGGGGGCCCTGCTTGCTCAGCCAGCCAGGGATCTTGGAAGACTCATGGGGGTAGGATTTCCACTCTCCTGACAAAACACTCACCCTTTTCAACACTCTAGTAGAGACCCAGCCCAGGCCACAGCAACAAACACTAAATGCATAAAGTAGTTAACTAAGTTACCTACTAGGATAACATGTTCTTTTTACATTTCAGTCTTGCAAGTTAAAAAAAAATAAATCAAAACCAATATATGCAGGAAAGTCTTACCTTCTCCACATCCTCTGCCTCAGCTGCTGTGTACTGCAAAACTTCACTGGTCTCACTGCAAAGAGGAAAACAGTTGAATTCCCCTGATACAAGTGCTCTACCCATCCTCCCCCTGCTCCAAAATGAAGCAGAAATGAAGTTAAAAGGCACAATCATGAGCATTTCTTTAGGATGCTTACAGGGCTCTTGCAACAGAATTCTCATTAGAGCTTGAAGTTGCTTCTTTCCTGGTGAAAAATCATTTTGGAAGGGCAAAATGGTATCTACATCATTTCAGTTTAAAAAAATAGATTTTAAATCCCACCTATTAATTTGTCTCCATGTCACTAATGTGGATACTTGCCCCAGTTACAACTGGCCAATCCATTTGAAGCCAATTTTCAACTGATCGAACCCAAAAACTCCTGTAGACCTTTTTTTTTACAAGCAGGTTAATACCTGTGGGTAATTTTGAAAATAATAGAGTCAGTCTTTATTATTTACTAAGACTGGGCTAACTGACCAAAGCACTGCAGTTAGCAGGGTCTGTAAAAGTTTAAAAGCATTTAAATTGTTTTCTTATTCATGTAGCAGCCTTCACTGAATAGTGATTTGCAGAGAGGGCCATGACAGGAGCTCCTACAAATGTTTCACTACTATGGACACACAGCCACCCTATGTTCCCAAACCTGCTCCAGCTGCCCTGGGAAACATTTCATTTAGCTAACAAAACCTCAGGTATGTGCCACATAGGGTGGAGAAGCAGAACTAGACAAGCAAAAGTCCCTGAAAACCTTCCTCCTCTCCCTCCACATCACTACGAAGAAATCAGCCAAAGCTATGACAACTGAAAGGAGTTTTTAGGTGAGGAAAACTCCAAACTCTCCAAAAAGGCCTGAGAAAAGCTCATATTGCATCACACTCGGGTCACACAACCACAGAGCTCTCTGGACATCACTCCAAGGAAGCTTTCCAGCCCCTGCTGCAAGCTGCCAGAGGAGCAAAGGTGTCAGCATCCACCACGTACAGAAAGGGACACAGAGCTGGTTTTTGAAAAGCAAACAGAGCAGATTCCTGGCTCTGCCCCTCAAGTGTGAAAAAGTTTTTGTTTCCTTATACATGACTGCAAAGCTGCAATGCCCAGAGACAGCAGGATGAGTCAAAAAATGTTGCTTTATAAAGCTCACACCTAAAAAGACTTCATTTTTCATCTTCCAATATTCCCTACATAGAGTGTTTATGCCATTAGGTCACCATATTGTACCACAGGGAGGATTCTTCCTGTGATGTGACTTAAGTTTTCCTAGATGGGCAGAGATATATTTAGGATTTGTACACATTTTTACTCCAAGGTTTCACAGACAAAGCTTTCTGGTTTGCTAACCTGATCTCTGGTAAGAAAGTCTTCTTGTAAGCATCCTCAATGTCCTGGAGATAGGAAGGAGACACCTTTTTCTCATAGGGCTAAAAACAAACAGAAAACAAGGTGGTGAAATGAGCTTTCTTTTCTCATCAGCCCAGATTCCAGCCTCATCAGAAGGTGCTGGACCACCTGCCAGGAGCTCACTCTTGTACTGGCAGTCAAACATCCCAGTAAACCACATAATGAAAGTTTCAACAGTTAAGACAGTTGGGAGTGTTTAGAATTTCTTATGTGGTGTTAAATATCTAGAGTACCCTAAGGACAGAGTCAGCCCTGCATTATTATAGCCATGCTTTTAATGATCAGCCATCTGAGGAAGGTTCTCCTGACACATGGACTCAAGGGAATTACAAGCTACACCAGCAATTTGCCAGAAGGTCTCAGAAATACCATTGACCTTTCTGCTCACAAGGGCAAAGAACTTGCAGGTTCCCATGATACATTAAGAAGGTTCCAATCCTGTCACTGAAGTTGTTAAAACACAAAAGTATGGTTTTCCCAGCCAAGAGTATCTTGCTCATCAAAGCACATTCAGCCACAGCCCAATCTGCTGCAGGGCTGAAGGGGAGAGTCACTAGACCAGCAGATTAAGCAAATCTTGAAGAGAGAAACTAGGCCACTCTCCAAGGGTTTGGGGAGCAAAAGCAAGAATGTCCCACAACTGTCAAAGACCAACAATAAGTAAAAGTTGTGTATTGTAGCCTCAGGTTAGGCTGAAGTCACACTAGTGACAAGAAGCAACTTTATTTCTGATCAACTTCACCATCAGATTACTCAGAGAGCTCACTAGGTTTTGTATCTATTGAAATACCTCCACAAAATTAGTTTAATGTTTAAGACTGGTGGTTTCTCTGTGTTAAAGTGAAAGTACCAAGCAGTAGTTTTCTTAATTTCAGAAAGTTAAATGACCTTGCTCACCACAAGTGACCCACACTAACACAGCCAACTAGGGAAGCTGGAGATGGTGACCACCAGCTGGGGCTTCTTGCACTCAGAAAGCACAGGTCAGACTGCAAGAAGCATTATTGCCTGGATTGGACTTCTGAAATGGCAGCTACACAGGCTGTTTTTTAAAAGCAGATGAATTAGATAAAAACCTTCCCATTGCAGAAACAGCAACAAACTGATGCAGTCAAAAAATAGTTGTTTATTTTTTCAGAACAAGCCACACACTCATCACCAAAACAGTTCTTACATCTAAAAGGACAAGAAGCTTTCTGAAGCAGAATTTTGCACCAAGCCCCATGGGAGGGACACGAGGGAATGGTTCTAATAGACACTAACAGGCAGTAACAGTGGCAAGAGATAAAATTACCTGCCCTTTCTCTTGAATCCTCTTCTGCACCTCTGAAACAGGCACATCTATATAAATGACCAAGTGGGGAGGCAGGAATTCAGAAATGCTGATCTCTTTGATCTCCTTGTAGTGGTCAACACCTGTATAAAAAACAAAACCAAGCAGACTGGGGAGCTAAAGGCAGCCCAGATGAACACACACACACACACCTTCCAAATGGATACAGGGGCAACAGGAACAGCATTAAAACTATAACCTATCAGGCAATGAACCTGCAACTATTTATGTGTATTTCTCTGTGTTTGCTAAAGACATCTCACCTGCAAATAAATCAATTCTACCTCTCACTTTTGTATTTGTAGCCTCCTCTTCTTGGCTGATAGAGCAAGCTTAGGGTAGGCTTCTCCTCAAATAGGATTAAGGAAGTTTTTAGGATAAACCATTTTCCAGAAACACAAAGCAAAATACAATTAAACTAAGCTGCTACACACACTGAGGTATAAGAGTCAAACATCAGTTATACCAACAGGGGGGATTTATTTCTGATTTCAGTTTACAGAAACCTGGGTTTTTCCTCAAGTTGCAACTTCCAGAGATTGTTAAAAAGCAAATATACACCTCCTAAATCTAAGCCAACTCACACAAGACAGAGGGAACACGAGGCAGGCAGGGAAACAATTACCTTCACCTCAGGGGTAGCCAAAATGCCAGATTTGCTAAGACCAGGTAGAAACAACACTTTCAACAGCAGATTACTGAGGGGTCAGCTGATGACTGAGCTTTTGCAGCCGTTTTCTCCAGACTTGCAGACATTTGAGCAGCTCTAAGTTTGCATGTTTTGGCTGTGGCTGGTCTCCCATGTATGCCACATAACTGCTCCAGTTCCTAGCCAAGGGGTGGAGACACTGCTCTCTGCTCACCCACTGAGCTAGCCTTCCATGAGGAGCTAACAACCAGATGTTTAAGCTCAGCTTCCTTCTCATAAAACTATGGTGACTATTCTCAATCACTTTCACATCATCCTATGCTTGGAAACAGCTTCCAGGAGGATTTGCTCCACCACTCTCCTACAGCTCAAGCTAAGGTCAACTGGCCTGTAGCTTCCTGGTTCTTTCTTCTAAAAGGCAAGAGCAGCATTTTTGCTCTTTGAGATTCAAAGGGTTCTGGCCATTTAAGGCAAGCAGACCAAGCCCTGCTGACCCACCTAATGCTGCAAAAGATCAAGGTCTGCCTGAAGGACCTTGGAGTCTTCATCAGCATTTTCAGGAAACTACAGGAGTCTCTGGTTGACAGAACACAAGCAACCAATACACAGAACACCTGTACACACAAGCAGAACCAAAGTCTTGAATGAAAACTGGAAGTCTCAAGGCTTGAGCAGGGCCCAGAACAACTCTGAATACTTAAAAGGAGTCCACCTTCCAAGCAGGCTTGTTTCTTTTTTTAAAAAAACCCCTAAGCTACCACATTTGTGGCTGAGACCATGGCAAATATACCTTCCTTTTTTTCATGCAGGTAACTTACATCTCTTGTGGATATAGCCTTGTTTGAACATTGCCTCCAGGAACACAAAGTCGCTGTAAGGAGAGCGCTCTATCACCACGCCTTGTCCTGCAAGGGAAAGCAGGTTCCAGTCAGCAAGGCTGCAAGAGGCTGCTGGCAGCAACACTTCCAGTCAATGACAGTACTGCTCTTACCCCCCATTTCCTGCTTACTTTTCTAGGAAAGTTAAGTAAAACAAAAGAGCAAGGCTTGCCAAAACAGCCTGGATGCGTGTGCCTCGTGCTCATATACTCCCAACCCTGTGCCCATCACTGCAGTAGCCAAGTGCCACTAGATTTAAGGAGCACATTTACATTCGTGTCTGAGACATTTATTTATTTTTTGGAAAACACTTACTAAAGCACAGCAACAGGTAAATCAGTGCTGGTGCACCAAACCTTGTCTCACCAGAAGGCACCTGAGTTGTAACAACGCCGCCACAAAACGTGAAATCAAAAGGACTGAACAAAAGATACCATCAGGAACTAAATCTAGGGAGAGTGTTTAACAGGCTGTACAACTCACAGCTGCCTTGGCGTGTTTAAAATGCCTTTCTGAAAATAACCATCAGGGATTGGCAAATGAAAACTAGTCAGCTGGGTAACTGGTGCCTGCTAGAAACGATGCGAGACATGCTCTTCTACAGGGACTCACTAAGGGGGGAAACTATAGAAAGCTCAGCAACCTAACAGCCTTTCATGTCAAAATGCAGGCATTGCAGTACTTACATTACAGTTTACTCACAAGGTGAATTAAGAAATGCTGTTAACAGCCTGTCAAGCCTAACCTGTGGCCAGCAGATGCTCCAGGGCGTCCGCGTACTGCAAGACCCGGTTACCAAACAGCCAAGCCTGCAGCCGGTAAGAGTGTCCATCAGGGCACTTGGGATCGTTGTAAAACCTCTGCAGGTTACAGAAACCATTAAATTTCTCAGGCAGCAGTGTTCCATCTCCTGTGATCCGGTCCAGGTAGTGGATGTCTGCTTCTGGGAAGTATCTCATTCCTAAGGGAAAAAGAGAAACCCACAACACCAATAAGTAACAGCAAGTTTTGGGCACTTACAGTAAACATCTATTCAGCTCCTTTAGATACCAGGCTCTACTTTACACAGCTCCTGAAAACAGAGCAGAACCCTTCAGCTGCTCCCATCCCAGAGGGCAGGCAAACCCTGTGTGGCCACCTTTCCAGGGTGAGAACTGAGCTACTGCTCTAAGCAGAACCTTCTGGCCACCCTGACCCTCTGCACACACCCATGCAGGGCATCCTGCCTCTCAAGATGCTCCATCAGCACCAGGAGCTCAGTGAGCAAACCTGACTTGAGCAGAAGTGAAACTTCAACCCCAATGCACCACACGGCACACAGGTGCCCGGCAGACCTGACGAGCCTCCCACCAGCACCTCAAACCTCAACTCCATTTTCTTCTCCCCTTGTCTAGACACCCTTCACATCACCTGTGGCATCTCCCAACAAGTCATTTCCCAGTCAAGAACTGCTGGTGGGTGAACTGCCTTTCTCCACACACAAATAACAACCCCACTGCTACATTCCAGCAACTACTGCAGAAATTGGGAAAACAAGACATACCCAGTTTCTCTGCTATCTGTTGTGCAAGCTTGCCCTTCCCAGAAGATAAGTTTCCCTCCACTGTAAAGACTTTGCTGTATTCAGTGAACTTCCTTGAAGCTCTGTCCCCCAGCATATAAGCCAGCCAGCCATACTGCAAATTCTGCTTGCAGCTGACATGAATTCTTGCCTGGAAGAGAACACAGTTACAAAACCAGCACATTTTCATTTCCTCAGCTGAACCAGGCGTGCCCAGCTTTTCCAGACCCTCCGTGCAGGACACACACACACAC